CACCGTTAACCATTGATTAATTTCTTTTGGATGTTATGAAAGATGCTTACTGTACTAGACTACTAGTCTGAATCCAGGGTTTCTGAAGGTGGCATTGTTGACGTTATGTTTTCTGATATGCAGATCCTTAGTACAAGAGCACGGAAAAATGTGGTAGCTAGTGAAATCAAAGTGGATGTGTGCATATTTGCTTTTGATGTCTTATATCTTAACGGGCAATCACTTCTTCATGAACAACTTAAAGTTCGTAAAGAGGTATGTGTTATGCTACAACATATATGGTTCTGGAATTTTTGGTAATACATATAATTTTTGTTAGGATTTATGAAGTTCTTTTTCACTACAACAACATATATCTTTTCTAAAGTGTTTATTCATTCGTCTTTATCTTGAATGCCTAAATTTCAGTTGTATTAGTGTTAACAAGAATTCACTATTAAGATTTGTGTTATGCGACAAGGAGACAGAGTTGGGCAGCATGGTCGAGTAATTGATTGGAGTGTTATTTATGTTGAGGAAGAGTTTATCTCGTCCACTGCATATCAGATGCCCTATTCAATTTAATAGTGTCTTCTACTTTTTGTCCTTTGCAGAGGCTTTATGATTCATTTGAGGAAGAGGCTGGATTTTTTCAGTTTGCGACAGCCTTAACATCAAATGATCTTGAGGAGATTCAAAAATTCCTTGATGCAGCTGTTTCTTCAAGGTGTTTGTTTAATTCTTCCCTAAACTTTTAAGCTGGATGCTGGAATGAGCCCAACAAATATTGTAAAAGAAAATCAGGAAAATAATTTTATTTTTTCCCATCAAGTACTTTGGGTTTCTGTGATGCTAATCAGTCTTATTTTTCAGTTGTGAGGGATTAATTATCAAAACATTGGATAGAGATGCTACATATGAGCCATCGAAGCGGTCACTCAACTGGCTAAAATTGAAGAAAGACTACATGGAAACGTAAGGTGTTAGAAATGTTTGGTTCTTGGTGCAAATTACGATCAGGTATTATTTTGTGCGTATGCAACTGTTGATGTTTCTCTATTCCATGCAGTGTCGGAGACACCGTAGATCTAGTACCTATTGCAGCTTTCCACGGCCGAGGGAAACGGACTGGTAATCATTTTTGTTTATATATCATATCCGATGACTGGAGCTTGTATATAGTTTATCTTTTGCCATTTGTTTAATTGATTCATTTGTGTTGACGGTGCAATCCTGTTTATCCTTAGGTATATATGGTGCCTTCCTCTTGGCATGTTATGATGAGACTAATGAAGAGTTCCAGAGCATCTGTAAAATTGGTTAGTGAAATTTGAATTGCTACTTTTTGACATATTGGTTGTTTTTCCAGCTGATGATCCACTGTCCCGCCTTCCCTCTATCTTCTTTCTTTGATGCTCAATAGGTACAGGATTTTCTGAAGCACAGCTTGAAGAATGTTCTTCAAGTCTCCGTTCTAAAGTGATTCCTGAATCAAAGGTTTGTCTCCTGATATTGTCTGTTGTAAGAAAGGAATTTGTGAGCAAATTTATCTTTTTGATAAGCACACAAATTCTGATTTTTTTATTGGTTACAGTCATACTATCGTTGCGAGATAAAGCCAGATGTATGGTTTGAGACTTCAGAGGTAAAGTTGCACTTCTTTGAGTATCTTCTCGTGTTAAAGAATTTGTTAATTGCATGTTCCATGATGACTATGTTCCTGTAGTGGACAAAACTGTTATTTAATGGAAGGAATATGCTTGTATGATGCGTCAAATCAGGTAAGGAATGGTTTGCTCAATTGGTTGGGAAGTTGCAGCTTGCCACAGCTGTAGTTAGGATGGCACTCAAGCCTAGCCCATAGTAGGGTTGGTGGGAAGTGTGCCTTTACTCTCTAATCTGATGGGGCAAAGTACCATTCCTGTGCATGTCGTACGTCATAAACAGTGACAATGAATTATCAGTTTTCTAGATCAGAGTGGTGAACTTTCTCAATTACAGTATTCTTTTGCATGGTGCATGCTTGCAGTATTTGTTATCACAAATTTTACTCCATGTTCTCCGTTCATATTGTCTGCCTATGTACGTGACCTGTAGGGATTTTGTAGTGTGTTTTTCATTGTTCAAGGATTGATTTTTTGTTCCCATTTGAAATAATTATATACTGAATTTGTGGAACTTTAGTAAATGATTTTCTCAGTTCTCATTGTGAACTTGCTACTATTTGTTGAAATCTGGGTTTCTGAATGTTCCTCCATAGAATATATGAACAGTTTTTGTCTCGCATAAAAAATTAAATGGTTTCTGTTGAATCAATTGAGATGATTATTGTTGTACCCTACAAAATTTATAACAGTTTTTAGATCCTAAATGAATTAAGAATTGTGTTCTGAATTTTTTGTCCCTAAATCTATTGTTATAACGACCTAGGTTTGCTAAACCCCCTTTTGCATTCAATAAATCTGATTATATAAGCTTTAGGCTATTGCTATTCTTTTCAGTAGTTCCTTTTTTCTTAAAAAAAAGAAATGTTTCTTGAACTTCTTGCAGGTTTGGGAGGTAAAAGCGGCAGACTTGACCATTAGCCCTGTCTATTCTGCTGCAATTGGGATTGTGGATCCTGCTAAGGTGGGATACAAGTTGTCACAAGTTGAAACCTTTTAGTTTTATTAATTTTTATTTTTATTTTAGTTTATTTCTCAATGTCCTATGTGTATTATTTGATTACTGAATTCTAGGGCTGGGTGACATTATTTTGGATCTTGCAACTGTTTTTTTTCTTTATCAACGTTTTCTCGGTTAATAGAAAATGAACTCATCTAATTCCTTGTTATTATTGCTAAAAGGGTATATCTCTCCGGTTTCCCCGTTTAGTTCGCGTTCGTGAAGATAAGACACCAGAGGAAGCTACATCATCTGAGCAGGTGAAGAACGAAAAAGTTCTGTCAATTTGTTCATATGATTTATGGCAGAGCAACAATATGTGTCTATTTGCATTCTTCACTTATTCTCTTTTTGCTTAATTACTTTTCTTGAATATTTGCAGGTCGCTGAGATGTATAATGCTCAAAAACACAATCAAACAAATAATGAAGACGATGTTGAGGATGATTGAGCAATTCTGATAAGTGTCTCAATATTTTTCCTCCCAAGGTAGGTGAATGCAATAATTTCGTATGTGAAGGGGACTCGTAGTCTCCAGTTTCTAAACCTTGCAATGTAAATACATGTACTCTTCTGCAACCAAGAAGGTTCCTTTTGCTGCATAGGCTAATTCCTTTACCAATTTTCTTGAAATCTAAAGGCTTTCAATATTTTTTAATGCAATTTGCTACCTATATCGAAAAATCATGTTGGAATTGTTGATAAGTTTTTCTTTTGATTTTTGTTTTATCATGTTCATCGTATTAGAGCCTTGGTCTTCCTTTCTAATCTAGAACTATTGGGGGCAAATGTTTATCTTGGGGCCTACTAGTTCTTCTGAGGTTAGATAATGTCTGCTATGTTTTTGGTCTAGCCTGGAATGATTACCCTTTTTGATGGGAATTATCGAAGACTTTAGGCATCAGTCTTGACCAGAAACTAACAGGGTAGAGGTCTAGAGTTAAATATTGTTCTAGACTCTGCAAATGGAGGACCCAGAAACAATGCTCAGTCATACTGCGGTGCCACTTGTTGGAGGTAGGATTGAGTCTTCAGTCAATTGTAACATGCCCAGTGGAGTCGACAATTCACGGGAAAAAAAGAAAAAACGGTTTTTATTTTTCGAATTTTCTGCCTAATTTTTCAATCCAAGTCTTGCATGAACTGAACTTGGATGCAACACACTTTCGTTTTCTGTTAATTTCATGGCCGCTCCTGTTTGTTTTACTGCTTGAATACTACAATATTTCCAGTTTTCTCGTGCTTAATCATGACATAGCTTGGAACAGCAAGGTAGCCCACAAATATTTAACCATGTTCATACTTGAACGAATATGGGTTGTCTTAGGGGAAAAAGCAAGAAAATGAGAACGTGTCATTATCTATTTCACTTTACTTGCGCATTGGGCTTTGACCTTTTTAGGCTTTGCCGAACATTGATGTAATTGGTAAAGGCGAGTCTGCTTAGGGATGCCTATTAGTGTAAGATTTTTATATTGGTGGAAATTCGGTTTGTTTCTTTTAGCGTATTGAATATTACAGATTTAGATATTCTAACGCCATTATTTAAATTTGCTATAATCTTGATAATAAATTTGGATATTCGGATCTTCTGTCCATTTTAGTTTTTAGTTTTCTTGGACGTACTAAATTTGGATATTTAGAAGGTAATTTATTTAATTCAGATTTGGATGGTTGGATTGAGGACACGTTGAAGTAGGCTTGCAGAGTGGAAACTGTATTTTCTTTGAATAAAAATTACTCCGAATGATTGATCCCAAAGCATGCTCTGGATGCCTCAAAATCCATGGCATAGTTAAGGGGATATTAGTTGAGGAGGGGTAGAAACAAGTGGGTTTCAAATTCAGTTGGCTTTAACCAATGAAATGCATGCATTGTCCTAAACGTTTTTCAATGTGAACTTGACTTTGTAACTGCTTCTGCATTGACAAAGCATCATCATGCAAAGAGGCATTTTGATTGGGACTTGAGGTTTCCAACCAATCACAGAGCATGTTTAACCATTTACAAGAATTAGCAAATAAACTGAAATGCTTATTTGACAGACTCAAATGATTTGGATTCAAACCGTCAGAAATTAAAAAAACAAACAAACAAACAAACTTGAATCTGCAATGACTTGAAAACTGGGTGATAATAGCATTAAACAGGGAAACATAAAAGAGTAATATAATCATACGGTAGCAGATTATGATTCGTGCGATCCACTAATCCGACAAGCAAAGCAACCCCTCTTAGACCCTTCCTGGTTGGTTGTTGCCCATTTCAACAACTCCACACCCAATATCTCTGCTTTTATCTCTCATTTCTCAACACAAAGCACAAACCCTAGTAAGAAAATGAAAGCTACAAAGTCATACTAGTAATTTTTACATTCCACAGCAGTCTTGGAGAAAAATCAAGCCCCCCTTTCACATCATGGAGCAAATACAAAAATATGAAGGGAAAATGGGAGTGCATAAGGACAAATATCTTCACCGAAAATCATGGGCAAAATGCCAATCACATGAGATCTCTCTGTAAATCTCTCCAATGGGTGATTAGGAAATTGAATGGTTGCTTCTCTAAGGCGAACCTTCGCACTGAAATGCTAGATCAGTAACCGTACCCTGACAATAAGTTTTAAGCATGGTAAAATACTTTATATGATATTATTATTTTGTTTGTTTTAGCATTTAGCAGTCATTGGAGGACTAATCTCTGGTACTTGGTCTCTGTAGGAGAATCAGAGCCATCAACAAAGAGACTCCTTTTTTCTGTCAACTTTAGCACAGTTGTTGTAACCTTTAGTGCTGATGGAGGAGTCTTGGTGGAGGCGTTGTGGTGGTGAAGGGATGGTGACAGGTGGGATCTCGAAGGAGTCAAGTGGTGGTGGTGGGTGTCTCCATTGAGGCAATGGTCCAGCTAGAAGAAGGGTTTGCAAAAGTGGACCAGCTTTCATCACTGCCTGTAAAAGCTTTCCCTTTTCAGGCAATGGCTTTTTAGGCACTACTAGCTCTATGGCAGCTTGCGGCTGGTCGACAAGAGGGGATGAAACAATGCTTTCCTCACAATCGGATGATGAGAAGCCATTGTTGGACTCGATCCCTCTCCTGGGTTCGTCTTCGATGCTGGAAACTCCAGACAGAGGAGCAGCACCAGCAGCAACTTTCTGTTGGTGAAGCAGTAGTTTGTCGAGGAGAAGTGTTTGGCATTTCTCGTGAGCTTCATCCCTCTCTTTCATGGCCTTGCTTATCAACCCTTTGAGTTCAACTAATTGATCATCTCTCTTTCTAAGCTCCTCCTGAACTACCATTCTCGTTTCTTCTAGCTCCATAGTAGTGTACAAAAGAGAATGCTTAAGCTCTTCCACCGTCTGCGTAGTTTTAAACACCCAATTAACACTGAAAACACATTAAACAGTAATGAGAAAACCCAGAGAAGAAACAAGAAATGGCCATTAAATTACCCTTCCTTGACAAAGATAAGCCCAGCTAAGAGGGGAACCTCTGTGAGTATCCATGCTGTCAGAATTGAATACACTCAAAAAGAAGAGGATTTTCCTATTCGAGTGTTGGAATTAGGGAATAACAGGGGATCAACAGAAGGTGGGGTTTGTGTGTGGTTTCTTCCCTTTCTTATAAATAAGAAAGGAGGCGGTAAACAACAATTTTTTTTCCTTGTCAAAATATACTTTAGTCATTATATTATACTCAACTTTAGAATTTAATCCATGTATTTTGGTTTGACATAGTTTGATCCAATGTTTTTAAAACCAGACCGGACATTGAACCGGTAAAGGTACTGGTTCACTGGTTCAACCGGGTTCAACCGCAGTTGAACCGGATTTTATATAAAATAATAATTTTTTAAATTTTACATAATATTCAAAGCAATATTAATATATATGTAACATTTTTTTTAAGTTTACAATATTAAAAGGTATAAAAATCACAAGTCATAACATATATAAATTAAAAACCATAAAATCAAGTGAAACAAAATGATTCAAATCAACTACAACATAATATTTAAGGTAAAACATATTAAATAATAAATATAATTATATAATTATAATCAAAAATATAAAATTAGGGTTTAAAAAATCATAACAAATGATGTCATTTGGTTTAATTTTTTTTAAAGAAAAAACAATCCCACATGGCTAAGAAACATAGAAGAGCATCTCAAAAGTTTAAAGAGTAAAAATATGAGAACAAAACAATCCCATATGGCTAAGAAACATAGAAGAACATCCCAACTTACTTCTATAAATAATAGAGGTAATTTGACATTCAAAATCATGGAGCCTTTTGGTGAGCACAGAGCGAACTATTCTTTCGCTTCAATTGAGCTCAAATTTTAGGCTTCAATCAAACTTCTAATTTTTTTTGAGTTCAAGCCTTTTCAAGTTCAAGTTTTAATATTATATTTCGAGTTCGAGTTGAACTTGATAATTTTTAGCTCGTGAGTTTTTGAGTCGAGTTGAGCTTACTTTTAAAGTTTTCGAGTTCGAGTCGAGTTCAACAATACTCGAATTTGACTTGGCTCGTTGAACAAACGACGTCGTTTGGTTTAATTGTTTTTTAAAAGAAAAAAAGTGAACTGGTGGTTCAAACTGGTTTTGCTGGTTTTCAGCCGGTTCACCCCGGTTCTACCGGTTTTTAGCCGGTTCATTGCCAGACCGGTTTTGTGAGGTAACCAGACCGGACAGGCCATTGGTTCACGGTTCAACCGGTTGAACCGGTTGGTCCAGTCCGATTTTGATAACCATGGTTTGATCATCCTCCTACTATTAGTAATATATTTAACTTAATAAATTTAATTTATATATTCTAATTTGACATAATTTAATTATTCTACTATTATTGAACCCTTTGAGCGGATTTTGTGATAAAAAAGAATATTGTTTCCTTAGAAGACCTACGTCCCAATAGGAGTTCTTTAGGAGTATATGCGATGTCAATAAATAAAAAAGATTATAAATAAATATTGTTTTGCAATTACTCTAGACTATTAAAAAATATTATACTATTATTAATAACATACTGTAGCAGCTGTCTTTCGAGTGGGCCCGGAATTGGGCTTCGACTTGAAAAAATATTATAGTCACCACCGATCATTTAAAAACAATATTTAGGTTGATCGGACACCATCTTACATGATCTGCGTTTTACCAAAAATATGTCGGATTCTTGAGTTGGTTACAATCAAGGAAGGATTAACACCCTTGAACTGCCCTTTCGGTACTGTTTTAATTTGTCGGTTGTTTTCATCGCGAAAATTAAAAATTAAAATTAAAATTTTAAAACTCGATTTGAATTGCTTACCTTTGATCGATTGAAATTACTACTAAAAAAGTCAAAAATATGTTAGATGGTAAAATAAAAGAAATATCGAATAAAAATTAACTAAATAATAATAAAAAAAAAGAAAAATAAATAAATCAATCAATCAATGAAGGAAATATTAAATTAAAAAATGTTATATATAAAAATGTTAAAAGAAAAATAAAACAAGAGAAGAAAATATTAAAATTTCAGGAAAAAAATAAAATAAAACAATAAAAAATAATAAAATGTAAAAAAATGTAAAAAGAAAAAACAAAATAAAACAAAATGAAATAAAAAAAGGTGGGAAAATAAAAAATAAAACAAAAAATGTTAAATTTGAAAGAAAATAAAAATAAGGGAAAAATATAAAGGGTCAAATTGTAATGAATTGAAATTCATGGATCAAATTAATTCTGAAAAATGAGCTGCAAGAGAAAAATAAAAGGTTAGGGGACTAAATTGTAAAATACAAGTATAATCAAGGATCAAATCAAAATAATTCAAAATTCAAAGGCCAATTTATAACAGGTGACCAAAATGAATTACATTTCAAACTTATAGGGACTGTAGAAATAATTTAAAAATCTTGTATTTACACAAAGGTCCCTCGACTATAAATAACCAAAAAACAAAAAAAAAACATCATTTTTCATCATTCATTAAAAAAAATTCTCAAACCTCAAAAATAACCTCTCAACTCTCCCTCTCCGGCCAAGAGCAGGCCATCGCTCCGACGATGTCCCCACCGTGCCAGCCACCGCCGAAAAAACAATCTAACCCCTTTCGAAAGCCCTCAACCCCAGGAAACCGAAAGCAAAACCCAAATCCCTACAAATCGACGTTGATCTAACTAGAAAGATTCGGGTTTTACCTTCCTTTGAGCGTCTTCTCAGCTTCCCGACAATCTCTGTTCCGACGACGCTTCTCTGTGCTCTTCGCTTTTATTTTCGATTCTTGGCTGATGTTTTTTGTATATAATTACTGTATATGGCTCAGGTTTTTTCTGTGTTGGTTACGTTGCTATATTTTTGCTGATATTCTGCTATTTTTGTTGTGTTGTTTCGTGTTTGGTTGCTCTCTGATCGTTTTTGGTTCCATGTTGATGTCCTTTCATTCGGCTCCGGTGTGGTATTTATATAGCCCCCGATGGGGCTATTTCCGACTTTGGCAGGGTGGTTCCCTTCGTCTGCGATTTGCTCGAGTTTTTTGTTGTTGACCGACTAAACGGGACGGTATAGTCCCGATTTAGCTGGGGATCCATTGCACGGTGATCTTCTCAGTTGGCCGTTGTTCGGCCGATGGGTTTCTGCTGAGATCCTTTTTTGGCCGTTGGATTGGGTCAGATCCAACGATTCAGATTTGGCTGCAGCGTGATGGTATCTTAGGGTTTAACAAACCATAGTCTCCTGATTATTATCCTCTTATGATCTAAATGTATGACCTTTGTGCGGCGCCTTTTGCTTAGAGTTAAAACCCTAATCTGGGTTAGACTGTTCGGGTTGTCTGGGTATTCGGGCTTTACTCGTCCTTGACTTGCTGGGTCAGGCATGCCCTGACTTGGACCCTTATTGGACCTAAAAATAAATAAAAAAAAAAAAAAAAAACAACATAAAAATAAAAAATAAACAACAAATAATATAATATATACTATATTTCAAAAATATTTCCAAAACTCTATAATATTATTTTTTCAAAAATATTTTAAAACTATTATATAGAATATATATATATATATAATATATATTAAAATGTTTTCAAAAAATGTTTCAAAACTATATATTATATAGTTTTCAAAATGTTCAAACTATATATATATAAGTTTTCAAAATGTTTCAAAAACTATATTATATAAGTTTTCAAAATGTTTTCAAAAGCTATATATTATATATTCAAATTTTCAAAAGCTATATATTATATATTTTCAAATGTTTTCAAAAACTATATTATATATATTCAAAAAACTATTTAAAAAAAAAACTATACGATATTATTATATAATAAAGGCTATGGACGAAAAGTGTCTACATATACTTTAATCTAAACTACTAATTTGTTAAAATTTTCATTTATTACTAATATAAGTGTTATAAATATTCAAAACATAAACTCTATTAAAAAAACTATTTAATAATTAAAAGTATAGAAATTTGGGATCAATTACTGAACTTTTTTTTTTAAAAAATTCAATGGGATAACAAAGTTTTTAATAGTTAATGATTTGGATTAATTAAGGAAAATCTACAACTAGATGAACATGAGCTCCACTAATGGAGCACTGTTGATCATTATTAATTTAATTTATAAAATTTAAAATTTTAAATGACTCAACACATAATCATTAAAATTTAAAGGTAAATATTTAAAATAAAATATTAATTACATTATTTTCCTTTTTTTAAATTTTTTAAAATAATCTTTTAAAGGTAATTATAATTTTTGGCTTAGTACGAAATAAGTGCTCAAACTATAATTTGAAAAACGTTAGTGCCTAAAGAATTTTTCGCTAAAAATAATGTTTCTTAGTTTATTTTTAGGTGCATACCATTATATATTTCTTTTATTTTGTATAAATAATATTAAAAGAAAAAAGAAAAATTTAATTTATTTATAAAATCCAAAGTTTAAAAATCACAAAATAAAACCTTGTTGGGTTCACTGGAGCTTCGAAGCTTCCTTCATGACAAACGACGACGCTATTCAACGAGAGGATGGTTGGGGTTTTCCGGTGTGAGACAATGCTCTCACTAGTGTAAGTGGAGATGGTCATGGCTGGTCGAAGAAGGGTTCGACGGTGACGGACACAAATAGTTTCTTATTGTTTTGAGACAAACGACGATCAATTTGGGTAAATTGTTGGTAGGGATCGCGATGCCCCGACGAAGCTGTTGCTGCTGGTAGTGTACGCCATTAGCTACTGCTGTTGGTGGCATCAGAGAAAGGGGATGGGAGAAGAGAGAATGGAGGGGATGGGGGTGCGGGATTTATTTTAAAAAAGGTTTTTAAAAATATATTTATTTTTAATAAAAATATTTTTATTTTTTACTTTTTAAATAAATTTTTTAAATCACTAGAATGTGACACGTGTCCCTACGGTTAACGTCCAGGTACCTAAAAGTGTAATTTTGAAAACATTACACTTATTTTTAGCAAAAAAATCTTTAGACACTAAAACGTTTTTCGAGACATAGTTTGAGCACTTATTTTTGCATTAAGCCTAAATATTTTTTTCTTGTTAAAGAATATTATGGAGACAATGTAATTAATATTTT